ATTATTACTTTTGTCAGATTCTAGTTATTTCTGTGACTATTGTGAGTTTTTCTTTCATTTAACGAGGGGTACCAACGAGTACCAGTCGGTTTAATTGTGAAACTATTATTAAACTGATTAAAATAAAATTTTATATTAAAATCCAACAACTTCTCATAACAAAGGGATAAGCAGTTAAACATGCTGAGTTAGATGTTTGACTAATGGAGCTCCTGCAATTTATATTAATTATGTTTTGCTCAAAACATACTGTATACTAAAAGTGCGCTTGGTAAATAAAAGCATACTTGGGGAAATATGACGTCCTTGAGTTATACTTCTTGATAAGGTAATTGTAAAGTACAATTTTTGTTAAAATTGTGAACTTAAGTTTGTTTTAACAATATTTTATTCAAATGAGTGCTAAACAGGGAAAATAAATTAACAAACATGAAGAAAATGTTTGTAGTTTCCTAATGCAAAGAAAACACCTTACCTGCACCATGCTCACGAACAAGAAAGGAGGGGCGGAGTTTGGGTCACATGACACAAACCGTCCAATTGGGGCCTCCGTTCTTCAGCACAGCAAGCAACCGGTGACAGGTTAAACGTGATTTGGACTTCAATTCTGTAACTCCTGACTGATGTCAAAACTTTCCCGTTTTATAAAGTAAAAAAAATATGTCTCGAAGCCAAATTTACTATTCTGATCGATACAGCGATGATGAGTTTGAGTACAGGTAAGCTAACTAAACAACTGTCTTACCTGTGTGTGTGTTTTTTTCTTCTAAGACATTAAAATTATCCCTCTTTAAACATATGTTTCTTAAAATATAGCCCTCACCTTATTTTGCAAATATATTTATATTTTAAGAGAAATTGGCTTCTAGTCTTCAATAAAATATCACTTGGATAAACCTTACCTGTTAAATTAACCCAGTCAGTAGTTTTCTGATCGTATGTCGACACAGCTGAAACTAATTCAGAAAATGCTGCGTTCAAATGTACCCCAAAAAGGTGGGGAATTATAGAGTTGATCAAAAGTGTAGTTTACAAGATTCTATAGCTACTCTGTGTCTGTTATGTCTTTTGTTTGTTGCAGATTGAAAACGTTAAACTTTTCGATCGAAGAACTAATCAGTATGAATCTACTGATACCGTTTGTAAAATTTGGTTGGTTTATAGCAAATACTTTTATTGGCTAAAATTAGAAGAAAAAAACATGCATGACATATGCCTTTTAATTTTAAAGATGGGAAATTTTTACAATATCCCCAAGTCAGAAAAAAGTTAGGACAGTTAAAACAGCTATCTTAAAGGAGATTTATTAAACATAATCAGCCTAAATTGTATTATGGTTTAGGATCATCAGGTAGATTTCAGCCAATTATTAAACATAATCCCCTTGTTTCAGGCCTGCAGCAGATTCCTACAATAAAACAAACATTGGTGGGTTTTTAATGGCTAATGACAAGATGTAAACACTTTTGTTCAATAATTTTTTGTAATCATGTGTGAAGTCTTTCAAGAGCAAAGTTTGTGACAGGAATTTACTAGATTGGAAAGGATTTGTGTGTTTTCCTCTGTTATTGCTCAAATGACAAAATATAAAGTGGTAACAAAAATTTTCCAACTTTTCTGAAATAGTTGCAGGTCTGAAGTGTTGGAATGCATGTAATTTACATAAATGACAACTTTTGATGATGTCATTTGTACAGCATACAAGGATGGATCATTAGTGGTTATTTAGCTGCTACAGTGTATTACAGTCCTGCTCACCATTGTTGGCACCCATGAAGTTTAAGTACATATAATGGAATATTTACTGAAGGAAATTCATCAAGTGAAGCAACATTTTACTGCTGATGGCTTGTGCTTGATGCAAAACAGCAAATGATCAAAAACATTTAAAAATATAAACATTATGAAGAAAACAAAGAAAAACATAATTTTTACCATGCCAATGGTATTGGCACCCTTTGCTGCAAATCAATATGAAAACCCAATTTGGCTCACCTGTTGCAAATCACACATAAAGATCACTTGTGATGGACTGCCTCCATACATGTGACATGAATTAACCAATGAATGATCATGCTGGTGCTTTAAAAGCCACCTGTTAGTTCATCTCCACATGTGACAATGGTAAAGACAAAGGAGYTGTCTGAGGACATCAGAAATGCTATTATTTGCAAGCACAAGACCTCCAAAGGGTATAAAGCCATCTCCAAAGACCTTGGTATCCCTGTTTCAACGGTGCGTAACGTTATTAAGGAGTTTTCCAGGCATGGAACGGTCAAGAACCTCCCTGGACGTTGGGGGTGAAGAGAAAAATTGATGACAGAAGTCTTCGACGGTTGGTGCGAATGGTGGAAAAAACACCAAATCTAACCTCTTAAGACCTAAAGACCAACCTGGAACAGTCTGGTGTGATTGTTTCAACAAGTACCATACGCTGCACACTAAACAAAGTGGGGCTTTATGGGCGGAGGCCAAGGAAGACTCCATTGCTGAAGAAAAGACATAAAAAAGAACGTTTGATCTTTGCAAAAGAGAACCTGGACAAACCTCAATCCTTCTGGGACAACGTTTAATGGACGGATGAAACAAAAATGGAGCTTTTCGGTAATTCACACAGACGATATGTTTACAGACGGCGCAATGAATCCTTTAAAGAAAAGAACACCATACCAACAGTCAAGCATGGTGGAGGATCCATAATAAAGTAAAGTAAAGGTGCTTTATTTGTCATCAGTGTATGTTTCCACACAATGACGAAATTGTGCTCTGCATTTAACCCATCCACACCCAAGTGGAGCAGCGGGCAGCCATGTGAGGCGCCCGGGGAGCAGTGAGGGTTAGGTGTCTTGCTCAAGGACACCACGACATGTGGGTATGGCGGGGAGTCGAACCTAAGACTTTCAGGTCCCAAACCGGCTGCTCTACCATTACACCACAGCCACCCCTAATAATGCTGTGGGGCTGCTTTGCAGCATCTGGTACTGGAGGTCTTGACCGTATCACAGGCATCGTGAAATCAGAAGATTATCAAGCAATTCTAGAGCGAAATGTCTTGCCCAGTGTAAGGAAACTTGGTTTGCGACGAAGATCCTGGGTCCTCCAGCAAGACAACGACCCAAAGCACACCTCCAAAAGCACACAGGCCTGGTTGAAAGGGAAAAAAATGGTGTTTTAAAATGGCCAGCAATGAGTCCTGATCTCAATCCAATTGAAAATCTTTGGGTGGAACTGAAATCTGCCATTGGCGAAAGGAACCCTGCAAATTTACAAGAGCTTGCGCATATTGCAAAAGAAGTGTGGGAGAAAATGCCACCCGAGAAGTGCAAGAAGCTTATAGATGAATATAAGAAACGTTTGGAGGCTGTCATTGCTGCCAAAGGCTGCACAACCAAATATTAAGAGGGGTGTCAGTATTAGTGCACATGCTGGTTTTCTGTTTTGTCCTTTGGAATTAAAATATTTATGTTGAAATGGTAATTGTCTTTGTTAAATTACTTTGGACCTGAAATTGAAAGATCCTGTTGATATAAGTTTTGAACATTTCCATTTATTTCTGAAGATATTCACTCAGCTATGCAAATCATGAATGGGTGCCAATAATGGTGAGCAGGACTGTATTTGTATTTTTACTTTATTGGGTGCTTTCATATGACTTAGTTGTAATGGAATATTTTTCGACAACTATGGTAGTACTATATATATATATATATATATATATATATATATATACATACATATACATTAGGGGTGTAACAATACAAGAAAATCACGGTTCGGTTCGATACTTTAGTCTCACAGTTCGATATTTTTTGAGTACAAAAAAGAGAACTTTCCATGCCCCTTTTAACTTGTAATTTATTTATATTAATTATGAACATTTGTTTAACCTCAAAAGTACAGTTTTTAAATTAAATGTTGCTGAAACCGCAAGTTTCTCAGTGGACCTGCGCTCAAAAATGCAGCCTAGGTGGAGTAGTCGAACACAGATCCACTGATCCTTCAACACAGAGCATCTTCAGAAGACAAGCTGATAAAGTAAATTTTTTAAATCTGTATTGTTCGATACAGGTACATGTATTGTTGCACCCCTTAATCCACTCACCTACCCTCTTATCCTCCAAATTAGACATGTTGTTTTACCTTGGGAAATGGCCAAGTACATCCCGAGATCCCACTTGATGTCCGAAGAGGAGTGGAGGCAGCTGGGGGTGCAGCAGTCTATAGGCTGGATTCACTACATGATACATGAACCAGGTGCAGTATGTCACAACTTGATCATGTTGCTTTTGTGCCACATAAACCTTATTCCTTACAGCTGGAGAAAGTAAGAAAACACTTATTAAGTTTAGTATTGTTCACATTTCCTTTCAGAGCCTCACATCCTTTTGTTTAGAAGACCTCTGCCTAAACATTGACCACTTCAACTGTAACTTATCTCAGCAAAGTAATGTAATTATAGTGCATTAGTTGTATTTTGTTGCATTAGAAATTAATGTTTCAGTCATTTCTCTTTGATTTGTCTTCTCTTTCAGGAACATGTATTACTCAGCAGTGTTTTCAGTGGGCCAGGACAAAGAACCGGACCGTGGTCACAAGTGAAAATGATCACGCTGGACTGAAATCATGAACTAATGAGATGAGAGAGCTGAAACTTTTATTAATGTTTTGTGTTGTTACAGATTCTTGTGCGTGTGCTAACTAAATGTTTATATACATTACATACATATACAACCTAAAGGTTTATTTGTTGCTTATATTTTTTGCCTTGTGGTTTCTTTTTGTGGACACAAGAGGGTGCTGTGGTTCAAGTTTTGTTTCAAGTAAATTTATTGTAAAATGAATTTCAAATATCAAATACACAGTAAAAAGTTTAATATATTACATTGTTTGTCTTTAAATCTGTATTATGCTTTTAATTTTTATTGTGTATATTTATTCTAAATGCCAGTCAAGGAAACTGTTGTTTCAACAGATTTCCAAAGAAATACTTGGGTAGCAGTTTTCAAATGTGATGTATTCAAGTTTATACAGGAAACAAAATTGTGTGTGCTCACAAAGCAATAACCTTTCAAGTTTACATCATCATTGGATTTGTATTTAGATGCTTAAATTTTGCCTGAATTTCATTTTGTGCTGGGATAATATCTAAAATTATTTAGCATGATTGTTAGTAGAATGTCATAAATGTGGCTCTGAGGAACCAAGCCGATTTTAAAGGACCTGAAGTAAAGATATTAGCACCATGAAAAGGTCTGAATGTACAAAGTCTCACAGAATCTGATGTGCAAACTTTACATAGAGACACTTTATTGTTCCATACAAGCACAGCTTTGAAGATCATTTTAAAGCTGTACAAACCGCAACAAAAGCTGCCTAAATGTCGCTCAGGCTGAGGGAACCAATCAGCTTCAATCCCTTGAGTTTTGGCGGGAGTCCCAGAAACCATCAACGCAAACCGTCCTGCCGAGCGCAGGAGCTGTGGGTTCTCTGCTGCATGGTCCGTCAAACTCTCTTGGCAAGGAGCGACACGGAAACACGTTCCTGTTGTCTGAGAAAGTGTCAGTGCTGGGTGTGTGTGTGTGTGTGTGTGTGTGTGTGTGTGTGTGGTCCACCTGGACGAGAGCACTATAGTTCACAACCAGATCCACGCCGGTTCTCACAGAATCGTGTGGCCGTCACAGTTCTCCTACAGACGGGCAGAGAACGCAGAAAGAAACATGTTGCCTGGATCTGTACATGGGGTTATTGTTACAATCATACCAAATGCACAGGAAGGCATAAATGTTGCTTAAAAAAAGCTGATGATTTGTTCAGTTTGGTGCATTTTGGGAGTGATTATTTGTTCTGAAATACACTATATTACCAAAAGTATTTGCACACCCATCAATGATCCGAATCTTGTTTCAACCACTTCCATGGCCGCAGGTGTATAAATTGAAGCACCTGGGCATGCAGACTGTTTTTACAAACATTTGTGAAGGAATGGGTTGCCCTCAGGAGCTCAGTGAATCCCAGCGTGGAGCTATGATAGGATGCCACCTGTGCAACAAATCCAGTCGTGAAATGTCCTCGCTCCAAAATATTCCACAGTCAACGGTCAGCCTGTGTTATAAGAAAATGGAAGTGTTTGGGAACGACAGCAACTCAGCCACATAAGCTGACGGAGCAGGATCAGCGGAGGTTGAAGCACAGTGTGAAGAGGTTGCCAACTTTCTGCAGTCCATCACTACAGACCTCCAAACTTCATGCGGCCTTCAGATTAGCTCAAGAGTGCAGAGAGCTTCACGGAATGGGTTTCCAGCTGCATCCAACCCATACATCACCAAGTGCAATGCAAAGCGTCGGATGCAGTGGTTTAAAGCACGCCAACACTGGACTCAAGAGCAGCAGAGGCGCGTTCTCTGGAGTGACGAATCACACTTCTCCATCTGGCAATCTGATGGTACTCTTCTGATGGCATTGGGCCGGGTGTAAAGTTTGGTGGAGGGGGGGATTATGGTGTAGGGTGGTTTTTCAGGAGCTTGGCCTCTTACTTCCAGCGAAAGGAACTCTGAATGCTTCAGCATACCAAGACATTATAAAGACATGGATGGCAGAGTCTGGTGTGGATGAACTTGACTGACCTGCACAGACCAACCTGATAGAACACCTTTGGGATGAATTAGAGAGGAGACTGAGAGCCAACGTCAGTATGTGACCTCACAAATGTGCTTCTGGAAGAATGGTCAGAAATCCCCATAAACACTCCTAAACCTTGTGGACAGCCTTCAGAAGAGATGAAGCTGTTCTAGTTGCAAAGGGTGGACCAACGTCAGGTGAGCCAAAACCTTTGGCAATATAGTGTTTTTAAATGTGAAAAAAGAAAAGGCAACCAATATTTCTTAGTAAAAGAGTAGTTTAGGGTTAATTACAAGCTGTTTTTTTTACTTGAGGCACTGCTTCAATAAATGATCTAAGGTCAACAGTCAAACATCAGAGTAAACGTCTTAAACACATCCTGAGAACATGGACCTACCCAAGCTTTTTCCCAGCTTTTCAGCAGCTGCTCATGCTCGCTGAGTGCACCCCTCCATTGGTTCAAATCCCTGGTTGGAATGTGCTCATCTGTTGAATAAACCACGTCACTCATCCAGCTCTGCAGCAGTGGCTTGACTGTCAAATCTTTTATGTACCGCCACTAAATTATCTTATTTGAACATATTGTGATTTGTTCACACCCATGCGAAGGTCAGTCCAAATACCTCCAATAGAGAGATGGAGGTCTATCTCAGACACGTCACTTCCTGCGCTGGCCTCAGCAACACAGTGGTAACGAGCGTCCTTGACCAGAGGGCCCCCTCGGAGCCAGCTGCTCACCAGAACCGCTCCCTGACCCAGCGGTCTGCGGTACTCCATGACAGGGGTGTCCAGACTCTGCCCGTTCATTAGCCAGTGAATGTGGACATCGCTCGGACCTGCGGGACAGAACCAGGACCTCGGGTTGCTGACACGGAAACAGTCACCTTCCGTTAGGTCTGCGTGTTGAAATCGCTCGCAGAGGTTTGAACGTCACGCAGATTATTTTCAGATCACACAGAAACATCTCAGCACCCTCACAGACATTCACAAGCTGGACAGCAGCCGCTCCAAACGAGTTGCATGTTTATAAGAATTCATTTTTACTGCATGGATTTTCTTTCAAGCTAGGAGTTGGTTGCTGCCGACTGTCGTTACTTAAAACTGACATGCTTTGTGAGAATCAGCGGTTTTAGATTTAAAAAGTGAAGCAAATGACAGGAATTCACAGCTGCAAACTGTTGGAACAATGTTTGAGCAGTCGTGTTCCTAAAAGTTTGAAATTTTGCATCTTTTGACTTTTTTATAATTAGGAGAAAAAAATTTCTGTGATTTCAGAAAAAAAGTTCATTGTTTTACATTTAAAAGTTGGGGAGAAAAAAAATGCATCAGATTAGTCTGATTCATTGAAAACATTTGGCAAGTTTTATTACACGTCTCAAAAGCCCCACATTGCCCCTCAGATTTATACACATATTTCAAAAGTATATATATATATATACATATAAATTTACAAACATGTACAGGCACAATAAAAAACCACAGTCTAAAAGTCATACGAACAACCAAGGGAAGATTTTGTTTCATATCAGACTCAATAAACATGTCTCTAAATTTTACAACTTTCTACAACAGTTTTTACAGAAGAATGTACAAAAAACATGAACTTTTTGTTGCAATTATGGAGAAGTTGACATTTTATTAAAGAACTGTGACTATTGGTTGGTGGTAAGTTTTCCAAAACGCAGAAACAAACGTTTAAAAAAAGCTGCTTTGCCCAAATAAAAAAAGGACGCACCCACTCTGTTAGTTTGTGTTTGGATCATAGAAACATGCAAAGTAGAAAAAAGCAGGAAATTAATTTAAAAAAAGGGAGTTAAGAAGCAAGTTATTTTCAAACCGAGCATGTGTCCCTGAGGAGGGGCAGTGGGGGGAGGGGGGTCACATGCACCACTCACCCAGGGCGAGGCAGAAGAGCAGAAAGGCCTCCTGGGCATGAACCCCCCAGGCCTGGTCCTTCAGCAGGGGGGGCAACAGTCTCACCTCTGCCTCCCGAGCCTCCACATTGTGGGGCTTGGTGGAGGAGGAGTGAAAGTGAGAGCTACCGCCAGAGAAGAACAGGGAGGAGGAGGAAGAGGAGGAGGTTTCGATGGGAGAGGAGGCTGTGAGGAGGTGTGTGGGGGGGTGATGGAAGAGAAGAAAGTTGTTTAAGGATGACATGCAAAAGGAGAAAAACTGACGAATAATCTAAAAAAAATCTGAGTTTTTGCAATAAATAAAAAATCTAAAAGGAAATAAAAGCTACGCGTTTAATAAAAAGCGTTACTTAAATAAAGACACAGCTAAAAACAAAAACCTTTAATAAAACCACAATAATAGCAAAAAATTATTCAGATTGTTTCCAGGGTTCTAATATCAAGTTTTAGTTCAGACTGTACATTTAGTTTTCATTAGTCCACCACATTAAGGAAAGGTGACTGATGAAGGTTAATACACGTGACGATCAGGAACTTCACAAATAAGAAAATAATAATCTCAGCAGTGCTTCTTCGCACAAGACAGTGGTTGGATACATTCCAGCATTAAAAAGAAACTTGTCCACTAGTTTGTCTCTCTGCTGACGTCCTTCAGTGCCAACTCATAGCAGCTGCTGCAGACGACAACACTGCCACCAACAGGCCGTTACTTACGGAACTCTTCCCTGAGAAATGACTAACACCAAAGCATTTTGCATCACCTAAACAGCAACACATAAAGATGTGAACGCTCCACAAGATTATTTCTCACCCACGCTGCAAAGAAATAGGATTCCAATTTGGAAAACATCAGAGTATCTTACCAATTTGGTAAATAATGTTTCCAATTTGGAATATAAGAAATAGCTTTGCTGTGCTGGCGTAAGCTGAAAACAGTTTGTTTTTGCTCCGTTTTAAGACCTAGACCAGATTTAACCGGTTGCCCAGTTTAGACTTTATGACGACTCAGCTTTGTTAGACGCCACACTTTTTATATTGTTTAGCTTGTTTGCTGTGCAGTCACAGAAAGCGCATCAGTTTCTACTGGGGAGGGGGAAAAAAGAGTGGGGGGATAAAAGCTTTTAGCAGCAAGGTTCGTCTGCATCTGCGAACTGGATGGACTGAGAGTCACAGTCCACATCGAAAGGCTTCTCCTGTGAGGGGCTGGCGCTTCCAGAGCTGTGGGAGGGGAGCTGGCCGTTGCCGCACTCGGGCTCAGTCTCGTACCCGGTGTCGCGGAGCGCCCGGAGATTCTTGGAGGCCTGGCTGCCGTTCTGGGTGGGCTGCTCGGTCATGTTCATTTTGTCGGTGGCGGAGGTCTCCATCAGCCCCGCCTCACAGGCCCGGTACTCGGGCTGATGGGAGCACTTGTGGGTGCCGAGCAGAGCGGCGCGCAGCCTCAGGCAGGGCGCGGGGAGGTACTGCATGTAGCAGTTGTACACCATCGCTGCCAAGAAGAGGAGGAAGAACAGGAGGAAAAGGAAGAGGAGGGCCACGCTGTTGTTGTGCTGCAAGTACTCGGCCTCGGGCTCCCGGCTGGCCGGGTAGGGAGCGGCCGAGTTCAGGGGAAAGCTCCGTCTCGGGTGGACTTTGACGGTGCTGCTGGGCGGGGGGGTTAGTGATGAATGGGTTTGGGGAGGGGTGGGGAGCACTGTGGCTGTGAAGCTGGTCGAAGTTAGTGAGCCTCTCCGTGTCTCAACGTTACCTTCTGCTGCGTGCACGTTACTGTTCTCCTGGCTGCTCAGGGGGGTGGCCGGGTGGGTCGGGCGGGTCGACTGGGTCGGAGGCCTCGGTGGAAGATCCAGTTTCACCGTGTATCCAGCCAGCAGGCGGCTGAAGTTCTTCCCAGCAGCAGGGGCCCATTCGAAGGACCAGCACTCGTAGGAACCTTGGTCCTCGGGAGCCACGCTGTAAACGAGGAGCCCGTTTTCGCCCATGAAGAGGAAGCGAGAGGCCTCGCTGAGAACAGAGCCGTTAAAAGTCCACATCACGTGAGCCAGGTTGGAGTTCACCATGCAGGGCAGCTCTGCAGAACTCCCTGGTTTCACCAACACGGACTGGTAGTCCTTCTGAGGCACTAAAAGGTAAACAAAGCAAAAAACAGGGTAATTCATGAATCTTTAACACTGATTAGAAATGAAGACCAGACGACAATGCTAATAAAAACAGGAGAAAAAAACAATAAAACTTTTCTTTTTGTCCTTGGACTGAAATCTGAAAGCTGTTGTGTTTTTAGGTCAAAGACAGAGTTATTCTCACCTTCAGGACATTTATCTGCATCACCATTTAGACTCTGGGTTAGCTTCCTGCAACACAAACATCAGTTTGAAGTATGCAAACACTCTGAGATGATATCTAACATGAGGCAGTAGAACTGGTCAGACCAGAAGAGCCATCAGTGTAGAGTTCAGTTTCGACCAGTGAGGAAATGCATGACTGGAGAGAAGTGAGATAAGAGTAGATGTTTCAAATCTAGCTAGTTACCGAAGACCATGCCTGGGTGTGTCGAGGATGTTGACACAGGCAGCAGTGTTAGGGTCCCAGGCGCAGTAGGGGTCTCGAGCCAAGACACAGTCGTAGCAGGTCAAATACTTTCTACAGAAAGCTGTGGGAGTCTGGACCACACCGGAGTCTGAGCCAGCGTACACAGACCGTGTCTATAAAAGAAACAAAGTTGGCTTAAATATGCAAAAAAAAAAGAGGTAACACTTTTATTTTTCATTCAATTGAGCCAGGTGCTCATTTTATTTGCCATTTGTACCAGACTGGGCAATAAATCAGGGGAGATATCTTCAAGCGATGAGGCGTATTTGTTGGAGAGGGCAATGCCACATTGTGAGGGGATGGCTGTCAATAAACAGATTTCTGAGTAGAATTGCATTTAAATAATTCTTCTTCTTTTTTTTGGTCCAGTTTTTTCAATCATTAATTCATCATGGAGGAAATTTGAATTTCATCCAAGCAATTAATCACACAAATTCATATTTACAAGTTGTCAGTAATGTTACTAAGCAGTTAGTTATTTGTGTAACTGTTATGGACTAATTCTGTTTCACCTTGACGCTGTCCAGTACTCATATATCTTATGATCATTGTCAAATCTGTTGGCCCAGACGTCAGGACTCCGCAACGGACTGACCTCTCTTGTTTGATAAGAAACTCTTTGAGCTGAGAGCCCTGTGATTGGCCGGGCAGTACATTTGTCGATCTGTGATTGGCTATAAGCACGTCATATGATGTTATCATGGTGTATATTATTGGCTGCTTTCCGCTGACGTGTCAGCCACAAGCCGACAGAGTTTCCTGATTGAGTTCTGTTTGTTTGTCGCTCAGAATTCAATCATTATGACGACCATACACGCAGACTTTCTGTGCATTATTCCAACGTGTTTCTGCATTCTTGGTAAATCATGTGACGACAGTACCAATTCATCCTAATAATAATAAAATTGATTATATTTCAGATTTTTGTACAAATTATATTTCAAAATACAACTTTTTACCAAAATAAATTACAATGCATTGTTACAAACCACTATAAAGGATTATTTTGTTTCTCTTCTGCCTTTTAGAGACATCAGTCATTGTAGACGTGTAAATCGGCAACATGTTTTTACTTGATATGTTATGTTCTGACAAACATTTCTATCAAATCATAATAATGGTTGTCAGTTGGAGTTGTAACTGTTGTTATTGACAATGTTCACGGACCTTTGGAAAGCTTTCTCAGCATGGACAGTCTCCCAAGGTCTGTCCAATGCACCAATAGACGGCCACCTTATGCCAATCAGCGAACAGAAGGAGGAGCTGTTAACGATGATGTTGATATTCAGAGCAACTGACCTTTGAAGAGAGCAGTAAATTTTTGATTGGTTCAGAGTTCTTCAAGAGCTGTATCTCCTCCACAATATGAACCTCGTCCTGAAACACCACAGACTTGTGCAGGACTCCTTTATCTAAAGATGGAAATGGAAAAACAGTTATTTTTCCTAAAGCATTAGTTGGCCTTTTAGTTTAGATATAGATGAAAACTTTCAGCATCTTTAACCGACATGTACCTGTTCCAGTGAAGATTACGTCGTAAATGTTGCCGTCGAGTGCTTGGATCTTTTCCACAACAAGCTGGGTGTAATTGACGTCTTTGGTGATGAGCAGAGGCCTGTTCCCGATGGGCAGAATGGGATCCTCCAGCAGGGGGTGGTCCTTAACAAACTGAAGAGTTTTGTCCGGCAAATAGAGTGAGCTGCTGATGTTCTGCTGTCGCATCATGTTGTTAATGCACTGGAATTAAAGAACAAAACAGAAAAATCAAGATATAGTTAGGAGTTGTCAAAGATTTGCTCCTTCTATTACTTATAACCTCAGGAAATTAATAAAGCAGTGAATTATTTCTCAGCCTAGCTTTTGTGAAAATGTTTGGACAACCCAGATAATCCTTACAGCTCCGGGACGTGGAGACGGACTGATGCCGTTGTAGCGCACCCACTTGGTGTGGGATTGCTCCACTGTGGCCTTCTGCATATACTTTCCTTTGGAGAAGACTTCCTCTACAGTGGTCATGTTGTAGGCACACACAGCTGACAAACCCACGTTACCCCTGCAGGATCCAAGTCAGACCAAAGGATTAAAAGAAGCAAAAAAAAAAAAAAACTTACAAAAAAATCTAAATGACTGTGAAGGTATTGCATTAAATAATGATGTAGTGATTTCTCTCACCACTGAGAGGTGAAGACACCATAGAACACTGTATCTTGCCCGGTTTTCCCCTTCAGAATGAAAATGTCGTGAACTACATTAAAAACAAAGTTCAGCTCAGGCATGGAGCACACCAGCTTGGCTTTCAGAAAGGACGTCCACTTCTTCTGCAGAGTACGCTGCCCTCCAAGGTCTCCCTGTAAAACGACAGATGCAGAATTGAATGAATGAATAAATAAATAAGTAAGTAAGTAATTAAGTAAGTAAGTAAGTAAGTAAGTAAATAAATAAATAAGGTTAGAGTTTGTATTTAAATAACGGCACACACACACACACACACACACACACACACACAC